AATTAGTATCTTGACATCACAAACATCTAATTTGAACCAGTGCTGCATTCAAAATACCATGTGACATACAAAAATCAATGTTTAACTGTGTTTTTCTAATATTTACTTCTAAATTAAGAAATGAAATAAATGTGGAATACTAAAATATGAATTATAATCTACAGTTTGATACCAAACTTATTGACATAAATTCATGAAATAGTAGTTCAATAAAACTTTTAATGAGAGTCAACAAATGCAATGACATGGCCTTTGACCCGTGACCCATCTGGAGAAGGTTAATTGGCACACGCATTTGAGTGAAATTTCCAAAATTAGATTGTGAGACATAATATTGAAAAAAGTATTATAATACTTCTTTTTGTCTTGGAATTTCAATCTTGATTTTTAATTTTTATTATTGTTGTTGATCAGCAAGTTCCATTTTATTTGATTGATATTCATTAACACATTTCTTTTGAAACTTTACCGACTGCAGTATTCACCACTAACAAAGATTTATCGTCATCTTTCAAAATGGCCTCAACATTACCTTTATTTTGCTAGGAAGTGCCATCTTTTGCTATATAAACTACATTCATGGTCAGAATCAATTTACTTCTAGTAAGTTCCTTTTTCAATAAATAAGTTTCTTTACATAAGTGCATTGTTTGAATATGATAAATTTAAAAAATAAGGATTTGAGTTATTTGAATATTCTACCATAACTTAACATACTCGCTCAACCCACCACTAACCCAATTTATTCTCAGAGAAGAAAATTTCTGTAATTTTCAAACACAACACAAAAAATGTTTTCTGGAACAAAAATGACATCTTAAAAAACTATAAACAAATTTCCCAGATTCGTGGTTGGTTCTCTAAAAATCTTAGTAGATTCCATTGTTCATTTATGCAGGAGCTTCCAAATATTACTGGCCATTACTATATTCAAAATAGAAATTCATTTGTATTTTTTCAAACCATATGCTGTGACATCACAGACAAATGATAACAAAGGATTATAGTAATAAAATCACTAAAACAGAAGTAAAATTCAGTGAGAAACAAGACCCCAATAATTAAATTCTCCTAGCAAATATAAAACTATACATTCGGATGGCAAAATTTTCTGAAAAAAAAAAATACAATAAATGCAGGTTAACCCTTTAGGCATGTATTTTTTTTTTCTAGTCATATCAAGCTCAAAATCATCATCAGATAATTCAGGTTCTAAGCCAGAATCAACATCAGCTTGCACAAGTTCAACTGTCTCTTCAAGTGTGAAAACAATTTGATGACATTTTAGGTTCATTTTCTCAAAAATTAAACAATTTTCATCTGCAAGTATTACCAATGTTTTGAATAGTAACACAAGCCACATTGGATATGAGTTAGCAGCTGAGATCATCTCCTGCCCAGATTAAGCTTTGTCTGTTGATTTTGTGTGCTTGTTTCACATTTCTAGCAGGAAATTCAAACTGCACTGTGTTGTTGTCATACGGCGAAGGGTGTGCCTAAAGGGTTAATTAAATGTGAAACTCCTTAGAATTCTGAAAAAATGAAATTTGGAACATTTCTTAAATTTTTTTCATGAATTACACTAAATACAGAGGGTTGAGTATGTTGTATTAAAATGATTTTGAATAAACAAATCAGCAAGTTACATAATGACAAATCATTTGTATACAAGTTACTTTCAAGACTTATCTGTTCAACCAGTGCATTCCTCAAGAAAGAAACAGGTATTCATGCAATTCCATACAAATGCATACTGGTCAAGTTGCTGGATTTAGTGCCTATGGATTTCTATGTGATCAGATCATTAGATTAGCTGCTTGGAAACTAATGTCCTCCTACAACAGACGACTTATGGAAAGCCTGAGGGGCAGAGGGGGTGTGCTTTTGACATAAAAGCTTTACAGTTGAGTCTTTTGCAATGAAAACTATGCTGCAAGCTTATTTTCAAAATGCATGGTTGTCAGGCAGAACATGAAAGGATGAGGCAGCATAGCTTATAATAACTTGGTGAGGTTCCATAATAGTTTAAATATAACATACTCAACCTTTGCATATGTTGCAAAATGACAAAACATCAATTCTAAAATATCTTTGGGTTAAAAACAATTGAAATAAGAAACAATCATTAATTTTACTTAAAAGTTAAAATGCAATGTTTACATGACACCTTAAAGCTGCTCAGTGGTTGTGACACAGGTCTAACAATTCTGAAAACTATTACCAAATTATATGACTGTCTAGATACTATGTTTCAGATCTTGTGATCTAACACAACTACTGAAGGAAATGTTTTCTGTAGCTGTGAGAAGGCTTGCTTTTACACAATAAAAAAACAAGCTTTCAACTTCCACACACAACACCAGCAAGAACTACAAGACAGGAAACACCCCTAGCAAGTTCTCACAAGCTTTAAAACACCAGCAAGAACTGCAAGACAGGAAACCCTACCAGCAAGTTATCTCTAGCTTTACAACATCAGCAAGAACTGCAAGACAGGAAACCCTACCAGCAAGTTATCTCTAGCTTTACAACATCAGCAAGAACTGCAAGACAGGAAACCCTACCAGCAAGTTATCTCTAGCTTTAAAACACCAGCAAGAACTGCAAGACAGGAAACCC